TTTAGAGAATTCCTCCTGCGCAGTCGACTTGCCGCGAGGAGTCAGCTGAGAATACCACTTCATCATCTCCGCAAACAAGCAGCGCGCGGATGGAAACCCTGCATCGAAGGCTGTCCGGCCTCGGTCATATTGAAGCTTGCCACAGTCCCATAGGCAGGCATATGTCTCCAGATCAGGTTTGATCGACACAGACATGGCTTTGAACTTGTCCCAAACGGACCGAATATCTTGTTTTCTGAGCTCAGCATATAGAAGGTGGTTCATGAAGTAACAATTCGGCCGGATTTGAGCATCACCAAGGCATTTGACTAGATACTTGACCATGTCATCATCGCCCCTTCGGGTATAATGGAGTAGAAGAATCGAAAAGGTCTCAATGTTTGCTGAAGGCACCTGTCTCTGCATGAACTTTGGAATGCGAGCGCCATCTGGCTCCTGACGTATTTGGAGCTGAGGAGATTTCTCAGGCGATGCGATCCGTGACCATACCAAGTCAATGCGCTGCTGGATCATGGCCCACCCCAATTGCTCAGCCTTGGCTCGCGCAATGGCATTCCCTTCGCGAAGCCATGCAGCAAGTATTCCATTCAAATGCTTAGAGTCTGGTCTGACACCCCGTTCGTACATCAGCTCAATCACCATCGCAGCGGAGTCGACCTCGCCCATTCCGATAAGCTTCTTCATCCAGCTTGCATAGAAAAATCGGTTCTGGAACCGCCGAGGTAAAACGGTTAGAGTCGAAAGCGATATCTTATTGACGTCCTGTTCACGAATGCTGGACATCTGCAGATTGCCTACTAGACCCAGAGCAGCCTTATAAAGAGCAGTAGAGTCGTTTGCGGGATCTTGAGCGGTCACCATCATGTCCTTGAAAACGGCTATGGCAAGGTTGAGTTTGCCCGCCTTGAGCAGTCCAATGCTAACGAAGTCATAGTCTTCCATCGTCATTTTGGACTCTAGCAATGCCTTGAGTTGCAAGTACAAAGCCCATGCCTTGACTTCGGCTTCTTTCCCCGGCTGTCTTCCCCAGGCTGTGATGACCGGAAGAAGGATGCGAGGCTCGCGCGATTTATCGTTGGCCAAGAACGCTAAGGCAATATCTTGAGCTCGCTGCGGGTCATCTGCAGCTGCGAAGAGTTGTACTCCAAGTTTCCAATATGCCTCAAGGTCTTCCTTATTCTGGGAAAGGGATGTCTGACACGCCTCCCACTGGTCAAGTGCCAAGTTTATTTTGCCACTTTCCTGAAGTGACTGTATATATAAAAGGGCACGGGGTGTAGGAAGAGATCTCCCGGCGGAAACTGTGTCTTCAGCCAGAGCTTGTAACCGAGTCGCGCGAGAAGCGCGCGTCAATTCCCCATTCGCCTGAGACTCCCACATCATGGTCAATGCCACTTCGGGAATTGATTGGAGGAAGTTGGGGATAACTTGTCGACAGCGACGATACCACTTCCACAGTTCTTGCTTAGCACGTTCATCAGAATGGTCATTTGCCAATCGTCTGAGGCACTCATTGAGCTTGTCGATGTAAGGATGAGTTTCTGCGTCGTTCAAGGTCACTTCGTAGGGCTGTCTCAGCGCCGGTGCTTCCATAGAGCCTTCCTCCTCCGCTTCCGACAGCCAATTTTCTTCCTCCATTGCCATGCCTTCAAACTCTTCCCTGAGCATATTGTCCAGCTCCTCATCGAAGACCTTATCGAGACCCAAGTCGTCATCAGCTTCACCTGTCTCCTCTGCATGTTTTTGAAGGGCCTCAAGCGCTATCTTCCTTTCATGTTCCGGCAACTCTCTCATGAAGGCGCTATTCGGACCATAAGGGCCTTCTCTCAGGTCTTCTAATTCCTTATCGAGCTGGGAAAGCTCACTCTCCACCTCTTCCTTCGCTGCGCGATCTTCAGCTTCCGGATCGATTTCCCTCCTGGTCTTACTCCCTCGCGTATCCTGCTCGTAGAAGCGAATCTTGTCATCTTTTCCGCCATAATGTAGAAGCTGTGGCGCTAGAACGGAGAAGGTTCGCAGTCGAGACAAGGGCGTAATCGACGGGCTTTTGTGGGCCACATATTGATACCACCGAGCTCCTCGAGCAGCTTGGCGGAGCATGAAGTATTGAGTTTAGATCATCGGACGAAACTGTCGAGATACTAAAGAGCAAGGACGTAAAGAAAGAAATTAGATAGATGAGGATCTTGAAGCTCCGCGGCGAAAGAGCCACTATTACCCGACTTGGCTTAGTGGCACACGCGAAGGTCCGCCGCGGCATTCGAGGTTCACCATTATTGTTTCTCAAGAGCTGTCTGGCCTACTTTTCCCAAGGAGGCTTCGCGCGCGATGGATCCAGACCATATAGAGACGGATGCGCTGGGTTCATTTAAAGATGGATCAAGTAGCCAGGTACGTGGAACATTGACCCTCAAGGCCGCACTGAACTAATGCTGTACACAACTAGGGTGTCTATATCTATAAACCTTCTAATCAAACCAAAAGTCATGGAGAAAGACCCTCGAAACGGCGAAAAGTACGATCGGAGAGGAAAGCCGAAGTAGATCATCTCTATCCCTTCGTGCCCTTATTGAACGGCGACGAGCCCGAACCCGCTGTCAAATTAAGATATGAAACCTACCAGCAGCTATGGTCCGAGCAGGAAGCAAAGATCCAAGTTAGTGCTATAGACAGTCCTGGCATGGCTTGACATCTTCTAACTTCGAGTCAGGAAATTTTGGTAGATATCGACTCCGATGTTTATGAAAGAGTCTCGACTTTTGTCAGATCGACCTCATTCGAGACGTACGGATATCGCACCCATGGCACCGATGAGTTACAGAATCTAATTGGAAATAGATATAAAGGGTGCATACCGGCGGCGTTAGTCACTGTTGGATCGAACGTTTCCTCTCTCGGTCGGCTACTTTCGCGTTTGAATGATCAATTGACCGCGACAGGAGAGGGTGGTGTAATTGTGCTGGAATCCGGGGATACACCCAACCTGAAGACGACGCTGAAAAACATCATACGTGCCGCGGTGACGAATACGGAAGGAAATGATGGGTACCAGAAGTTATTGACAGACAGAGAGGTTAGACTGCCGTCCTTTTATCCCAGCGTGACGAATTCGATGGCTTAGCGTGGTACAGGGACCAAGACTTCTAGCATATGATCTTGACTTGCTGAGCGACTATGTGGAAAGAAAGGGAGTCAAGAAGCTGGTGCTCGCATTTCGAGACAGCGAAGCTTTCGATCCCACCATCTTGACAGACCTATTGTTGCTACTAAAGTGAGCCCAGCGTCCTTGGCTTCGATTATCCAGAATCTGACATATTACTGCAGCTCATGGCTCGACAGAATACCTTTTACTCTATTATTTGGTATTTCAACTTCTGTTGAGCTTTTCGAAGGGAGACTTCCACGATCGACTGTCGCCTTACTCCGAGGCAAATATTTTGAAATTCATGATGCAAGCAACTGTGTCGATCGCATATATGAGCGACTGCAGGCGGATCCGAGTGGCCGCTTCTGGCTGGGTCGCAACATCACTGCCGTTCTGTTCGAGAGATCGAACGATTACTTTCAGACGCCGGAGGCGTTCAGTCGAGTGATCAAGGTATCTTCCGGCACCTCCTACTCCTTTAAAGTTTCAATATCTCACAACAACTTGGCAGTATTCTTACATGACCCACTTTTTTGCGAACCCTTTGTCTGTACTTCTTGCAACCGACTTGCCTGGAGCCCTTCGAAACGGTCCTTTGTGCGAAGCAATCAAAAATCTTCCATCCTTTCGAGGGTGAGTGTCTTATTCCGCTGCGTTTACGTGCTTTCACTAAATGGAATGAAGCTACTGTGAGCACCTTCTTGAGGAGGGGTCATTCGACCAAGCGCGCAGGTTGCTGGAGGATGACGAATTTCTCTTCCAAGAAATGTTGCGGCATCTTAGATCCGGACAGCAGAAGATGCGTGATATCTTCCAGACTGTCAGGTGGATTCAATCATGTCGAAGAACCCTGAATCTCACCAAGAGAACGGATATTTCGGAACTTTCCATCCGTGCCCTGTCAGGAGAACTGCTGAACTCCTCCTCTGTGGAGGATATGATGAAGATCTTGAAGAGTCTGGATTCCACAAAACTGGGCGACATTCTTGCTAGTCTTCCGGATGGCTTGACGAAAGACCAGGAATTTCAACAAATCAGGAGAGGCTTAGATGCTATATTGCAAGATTATCAAGGTGCTGAACCCCTTCGAAGTGAGTATGACAGCCGACAGTCCATGGTGGCAACGACCGTTGTTCAACAGCGGGTCAAACTCAGTAAGGGGAAAAACAAGGTTTCCAAACACAGCGTCGACTACACGAGGATCATTGATCGCCTTTATCATTCATTAGAGGCATATCTTACAGAAACCCTGCTTAGGCCGCAGGACTTGTGCTTGCATGAGGTATTCTTCCTCGATATGAGGAACCCTCTGAAGGAGACATTCACACCGCGGCCCCGTTTCGCCATTGAACGGGCTTTGTCCAATCCATTTGATTATTTGATATCGACGTCAGAGTCTTCTGAAACGAAGCTCTCTACTAAACAGCCCGCCACAGCGATCTTGTATCAGCTATACCTCGAGTCTGGCTCTCTGGTTAACGTATACGATATTTGGCAGGCTTTCTATGCGGTCTTCGAAAGCGAACAAGGTGAAAGCTGTGATGAACGAATGATCATGACTATGTTCTACAGGGGTCTGTCCGAGCTCAAAGCTTTTGGCTTCGTCAAGAGCAGCCGGAAGAAGATTGACCATGTGACGAAGTCAGCCTGGATGGGGCTATGAACGCAGCACGCGAGGCTTGTCGCGAATATGCGAGTTTGTAATATATAGTGCTATCAACAATAAAGGGTATCATGAATGCATGAGGAAAGGAATGATCACACAAATATGCCGAAAGTCGTCAGGCAGGATATCACATAACCTCTCGAGAAGGATAGTCTTCGCCCTCGAATAAGAATATGCGAGCCTTCGCGGTCATTCTGCGATAGGTATTTGAAAGATATCGTCATTGTTCAAAGGATGAACTCCATCGCTCAACACCATGGCTTCCCTCCTGCGCCTCCTGACGGCTTGTTCTTCTGCGGTTCCCCCGCGAAGCCTCCTCCCTGAAAGGCGCCTCGACCCGGCTGTATCTTCGCCATCGATCATCCATACATCGCTATCTTCTTCATCATCATCATGGTCATTCTCCTCCATCATACTGCCCATTAGACCATACTTTCTTAATTGTTTTGTACCATCAGGGTGAGATGATAGCGTGCTGAATATTTCACTCATGATCGTGTCATCAGACCACCAAGTCTTCATGAGTATCACCACGTCCTGCCTCCGCGACGGGGTTGTCAAAGCACACGGGAATGGGTATTTAGAAAGCCAACGACTGACCACACCAGCTTCCAGTGCGGCAGGAATATTTTCTCGCAGAATCAAATTGAGAATGCTGAGTGCTTTTTTCTCGCCCAACGGTCTCGTTTTTGGCAGGATAGGCGAATCGGTGGTAGAGGTTTCTTCAACATGCTCCTTGAGGAAATTGCACAAACAATCGACGAGGGCAGTGTAGGTAGAGAGGTCTTTCAGGCGAGAACAGACAGCGGTTCGTGCAACTACAAATTGCCACTCAGTCAGTATGAGAGCAGTTTACAGTATATATCGATGGAAAACGTACGCGCTCTATTAGATAGCAGGAAGTATAGCGCAGTTAGCGCTCTACCTCTTCGCTCTTTATTTTTGCTTGCCAGGTCTTTTAGAAGCAAATCTCGCGTCGAGCCTTTTGTAGATCGCTCCGCAATGATGCGCAGTGCCCTAGACGGATCATTAGCCAATGTCAACGCTTCGTAATGGAGAGCAGAAGCAGCGTACGCAGCACGAAGGTCGTAACTTGTGCTATCGGACAGCTTTAAGAGTGTATCTAGCTTGAGAGCTGCGATGGAAGTCAGTCCCTGAAAAATGCCTCTTGTAGAATCGTTCAGCATACCATCCTCTGTGCCCTCACTGATTATCTTGTCTTCCTTTTCGACATGCTTGATTTCCGTCAAATCACTCACGCGGCGGAGATCCGCAGCAATTCCGCGGACGGCAAAGAAGAGAGACACGCCTGATAAGTTAGCATTCTAAACAAACATCGCGAAGCTGTATAAATAGAACATACCCAGACATAACCAGAGAAACCTATCACTCAAATGAGAAGCCATCTTGCTATGGCAATGCAGGTTCCCAAAGGACATCTGCGTGTGAGGAGAAAGCGGAGTAGTTCGATGATCTCAAAGCGGTGCGGCAGAATTTCCCCGACGAAAGCGGTGAGCCTACTTTTTTTGCGGGCAAATCGTTGAAAAATGCATCGTCCAAAAAATTTCGGAGGAGCAGCAGGACGCTTTTACTTCAACACCAACACATCACCATGCCGCCTTCGCAGTTGAAACAGTTGAAGGCGTCGCTTCGCGATAGTGGTGTTTTAGCGCCGCAGCAGTCCAAGAAGCAAAAGCGCCAGAATGCGAAGGCTGGCGTCAGCGCTCAGAATCGTGTGCAGCGGAATGCCGCTCTGCAAGCAATTCGAGATCGATTTAATCCGTTCGAGATCAAAGTGACGTCCCGGAACAAGTTCGATGTGACTACTAGAGATGGAGGCTCTAAGCCGGCCGCTGGTCTGTCAAGGCCCGGAGTGACGAAGTCACTTGGAGAAGAAAAGGTGGGTTGAATGTCGTTCAAAATGCAGATTGCCCGGCAACTAAGACTTTTTTTCCCTATATGACAGAGACGCCAAACGCTTCTTCGGGAAATGGAGAGGAAGAACAAGATTGGTGGTATCGTTGATCGCCGTTTCGGTGAAGACGATCCGACCATGACACCCGAGGAGAGAGCCGCCGCACGGTTTGCCAGAGAAAGTCAGAAGAAACTGCGCAAGGAGTCGATGTTCAATCTGGAAGATGACGATGAAGACGATTTTCAACTTACGCACAAAGGCCAGACGTTAACCCTCGGCGGTGACGTCCCTAAAGACGATTTTGAAGAGGATTTGGGTGGATTGGAGGAGGATCAATCCGACTCGGAAATGCCGCGGAAAAGGAAAAGAATGCTCGATGATGATGAAGAGCTAGAAGACTTTGTCTTTGATGATGAGGATGGAGAGGATCAGCCGGAAAGGAAAAAATCGAAACATGAAGTCATGAAGGAAGTCATCGCCAAGTCGAAGTTCTACAAGCTGGAACGGCAAAAGGCGAAAGAGGAAGACGACGATCTTCGCGAGGAGCTCGATAAAGGACTTCCCGATCTTTTTGACATGCTGCGCGGTGTGAAGCCGCCACCGAAACCGGAGCCTGCGAAGGACGACCTGGAGTCGATGAACCCAGAGCGTGCAGCTTTGCTGAAAGGGACCGCGGATAATGACCCTAATAGAGAATATGATCAGCGGTTGAAACAATTGACGTTCGACAAGCGTTCTCAGCCAACAGACCGTACCAAGACGGCTGAAGAGAAGGCCGAAGAGGAAGCGCAACGACTCAAGGCCCTTGAGGAAGAGCGTCTTAGAAGAATGCGTGGTGAACAGGAGAGCGACGAAGAGGAGGATGATGAAGGAGAAAGCGAAACGGGAGGCGAGGACTCTGACGATGAGTCCATTCCGGACGATGCGGAGGCATTTGGTCTGAAGCAGCCTTCTCCGACAAGTGAACGTCCCGATATGGGAGTCGAAGACGAGGACGACTTTATCATTGACGACGATCTTGTTGAGACGAGGTCCGATGTGAGTCTCTCATTCGACGAAAGCGACGGAGAAGAGGGATCGTCGGAAGAAGAATCGGAGGAGGAAGAACAAGAGGAAGAAGATGAGCTTATCAATGGGCTTACACTTCCTACCAGTAAATCTGGGGATTCCCCGGCAGCAGGCGATGGTGCCCAAAAGACAAGTGAAGGGCTGGCCTACACCTACCCATGTCCCGAAGATCATGAATCGCTCCTCGAAGTCATCAAGGATGTTCCCATGAATGACCTGCCTACTGTCATCCAGCGTATTCGAGCCCTGCACCACCCGCGTCTGCACGCCGACAACAAGACGAAATTAGGGCGCTTCGCTGCTGTCCTTGTCCGTCATGTTGCTTTTATGGCTGAGCAACCCGAACATCCTCCTTTCAACGTTCTCGAGGCCGTCCTACGTCACATTCACTCTCTGGCCAAGTCCCACCCGGAAATCGTATGCATGGCGTACAGAAGGTATCTCCGAGAGATTGCGACGGACCGTCCTCTCGGCCTGCGCGCTGGAGACCTGGTCATTTTAACAGGCATTGCAACCACCTTTCCAACTTCGGATCACTTCCACGCAATTGCTACGCCTGCCCATTTATGTCTTGCTCGGTATCTGGGTCAAGGATCTATCAATTCGCTAGAAGACTACGCCACTGGTGCCTACGCCGCCAGCCTCTGTCTCCAGTACCAGACCATTTCGAAGCGGTACATGCCCGAGTTCATCAACTACGTGCTCAATGCCCTCTGCAATCTCTGTCCGACAGGACCAACCAGCAGCCTTGGGTTCTTCCCAGCAAGGGGATCTCAAGAATCGCTGCGACTGACCCCCTCTAAACAGCTTAACCCTCGAAAGCTCCAATTCTGGGATATCGCCACCGCACAGTCCGATCAGAGGTCCCTGGACGAGCTTAAACTTTCTCTCATTCACACATTTATCACCCTTCTCAATTCCGCGTCCGACCTGTGGGCTGGCAAGTCGGCATTCTTCGAGATCTTCGAACCGGTGCAGCAAGTGCTCCGCCACGTGAACAAATCCACAAAGGGCAAGCTCTCGTCCACCGTCCAGGACAACCTGCAATCGACACTGGACAAACTTGACGCACATCTCTCCCGCGCGCGTGCGACCCGCCGGCCATTGCTGCTGCACAACCACCGCCCGCTGGCGATCAAGACCGCCATCCCCAAATTCGAGGAGACCTTCAACCCGGACAAACACTACGACCCCAACCGCGAGCGGGCGGAGCTCAACCGTCTCAAGGCGGAGTTCAAGCGCGAGCGCAAGGGTGCCATGCGCGAGCTGCGCAAGGATGCCAACTTCGTTGCCCGCGAGAAGTTGCGCGAGAAGAAGGAGCGCGATGCCGAGTACGAGAAGAAGTACAAGCGCCTCGTGGCGGAGATCCAGAACGAGGAGGGCCGAGAGGCGAATGCGTACGAGCGGGAGAAGAGGAAGCGTCAGGGGAAGTGGTAGGATCTTCCACTCCTCTCATGACATCTCTGATACTCAGGCCGTCTGTGGTTACGGGATTCTTGGTTTCTCTGGCATCATTATTGTCCAAGGCGTACCAGGCTTCAAGGCTTTATTTGTATATACACTTGTCAAACGACACAAAAAGAAATTCTTCCTTTTTCCCCACTGTCCTACCGTAAAACTGAGGTACGGAATTAGTCCACTCATTAGGTCTACTGGCCCAGCGCCGTCCCAATGCTGATCAGATATCCACACCTCTGCCTCTGATCGATCGGGACACTTTCCATTTTCGTTTCGTTCGTCTTGATGAAAATACGGCTGTACCCTCCCCCGTCACCCCAAGTCTTCCATTCGGGACTGCCGGGATAGCGATGAGTATTCGGGTTGAATGTCTTAATGAAGCTTGTCCAGTAACCCTGCATGACCGGGACTATTGGAGCGTTTGTGGTAGTGTAAGAGGGAGGGGCACCCCCGTTCGTGTACTCGGGCCCCCAAATGGCGTTGACCTCGACTGTATGGGACACACCAGTACCTGAAGCTTGAGCGGCTTCATCTTCCACGGCGTAGTGATAGTTCCAATTCTTGACCCCGGCAGCTTCGTAGACGGTCGACATGTCGATGCCAGGACAGATGTAGCGCATCTCTCCGTAAGCGTTGCTTGCAGGTCTCCACCAAATACTAGCACCAGGGAAAGACTGAGTCTGGTTTTCCTGCAGATACAGCTCATTAATCTTGGCTAGGTTATGAAGCTCGATTTTTGGAAATTGGTTTTGAAGGAACTTGTCGGCTTCGGCGGCGCTGGCGACATCTTTCGGGACGAAGATGGTACCTTCGTTCGTGTCGTCGCCGAAGATGACTGGCACTTTGATGAACTTGCCCTGATGGAAAAGACGATACGTATAGTCGGGCACGAGGTCTGCGTCAACAGTCGGCCCGTACATGTACAGCGGCGCCTCTTGCGCTCCAGGGAACGGCGTGTTGAAATTCTGACGCTGAAGGCTTGCTGTATCAAGATTGCGTAGACACGCGAGTGTGTCGTTTTCGCTCGCACAGCCGGTGCGGATGACCAGGTTGTTGTAAGCAAACTGGCTCTCAGCCGATGTAAGCATGGTGGCAAAGCTTTGTGACTCTGCAGCTGCAGCGTGGAATAGGCCGTCGTTTCTTCCCCCATAGGCCGAGAGCAACAGGGTGATGGAAGCAGCCCCTGCGCTATCACCGCCGAGGACAACATGATTGGGGTCGCCGCCAAACTTTGACGAAGAGTTAACACCGAAGCTGAGAAACAGATAGGGTAGAAGACGCCTCACTTTGCTGATATGTTTCTGGACCCATTTGAGAGCCTTGATCTGATCTTTGAGGCCGTTGTTCAAACTTCCGCCATTCTGGACCTCCCTGGCAGCCAAGAACCCATAAGGTCCAACTCGGTAGTTGAAGGTAACCACGATGATTTCCAAGCCAGAAGCTTCGATCAACCCAGTTCCATTGTAATTGGCATTCGAATTGGAGTTGAACCCACCACCTTGTATCCAGAAGAACACAGGGAGATTGGACGCATTCCTTGGGGCATACACATCGATGAATAGGCAATCTTCGGATTTACTAGAGCCCACAGGATATTCCCCAGTTGGGATACAGATAGGACCGTGCTAAGCCCAGATCGCTCGTCAGCATGGGAAGCTTACGACATTAGGTTTTGACTGAATGTCTACCTTATTTGCTTCTTGAACCCCCTTTATTGGCAGCGGATCCTGTGGGCCAGCAAATCGCAACTGTCCGACAGGAGGGGCAGCATAACGCATGCCCAGCCACTGTACAATGCCGTTGGAGAGCTCATGGCCTTGATATTGTGTGTACCCAAGATCTACAACAGCCTTCCGGGCAGATGCAGCAGGAAGTAGTAGCAGAACAAAGGCGTAAAGATTGTTCAGGTGCATTTTCTGGCGGCACGCCCGATCGCATGAAATGGGCAGTAGACAATGGCTCGAAAGGATACTCAAAGAGTAGGCGATCAAACACTATTTAAGTGATACCCTATACCGAGGACAACTGTCGCAGGCCCAAGACTCTGGCCTCGGGTTCTGGGGTCTTCTCCGGAACAAGTCCAACAGACGATCCGGGAACAACATCTTTCCAAGTGATGTCAGCGATTGTTGAAATTGGGGAGTAATCTCAAGTTGGTAAGCTAAGCCACATGATAGCCATTATCGGCGTTATAGCCGAAGTACAAACACGGCAGGCTAGGAAGAGAAGCGGATCAGCATGTTAACCTATCATCGCTTCGGATATTCCGTCCTGGAGAGCTTAGAAGAAGTCCCGGAGAACAAAACTGGATTCCGTTTTCCAATGGTTGGAACTTGCTTGGCTGTTTATCTGATGCTAATGCCATGTCAGCACTGAGTGCTGGAGGAAGTGAGATATGCAATTGTTGATACCGCGAGGCTGTCTCTCCTGTGCTGACGTCATAAAAATCATCTGATTTGATTTTTTTCATCCAAAGAAGGGATTGGGAGGACAATGAAGGCTTTCTGCAAGCCCCCATCAACTCTTCTCAAGTGTGGGGGAAGTGACTCAAAGTGTGTCCTGCAGAAGCGCGAGAGGGGATGGAATAGTCATGAAGTTTAGCACGCGGGAAACTGTGGAGAGAGACAAAAAGTGCTTCATTTTGGTCGGCATTTTCTTCCCCGCAATCACAATCAGGGAACCCCAGTCTCAGCAATTGGCAAATTAATTTCACACCATCTTTTGCAACTATTTCCTTGGCATACAAATCCCCATCTAGCCTTCGATCCCATCCGGTTATCACTTAAATCCCGGCTGCTCATCGGCTCTACTTCTGGTCTCCGACAGTCGGCAGGGCGCAATCACCACCATGCCCCCCGCGAACGGAGGAGAGGAAGAGGAGGATGACTACATGTCAATGGTGATCGAGGAGCCACAGCAGAAGGAAACATTTGCCCAGAAAAAGCTACGCAAGCAGCGAGAGGTCCGTTTCTTCGGGTTTCCCACTTGATAACATCTAGCAGCGCTCGGCCCCAAAGCTAACTTTCCACGCGTCCTAGGCAGAAGCTCGCGCCAAAGTCCCCTCGAAAGCCGAACTTGCCGCCCAAGAAGCCGCCCGTCGAGATGCCGCCTTGTCCAAAAGCACGCTGGACCCCTCCAACAAGGGGTTCCAGATGATGGCCAGACTCGGGTTCAAACCCGGTCAGACTCTAGGAAAGCCGCAGACACCACCCGGAGATAGTAAGCCCTCGGAGGGAGATAGTCAGCCCTCGCATGAGGATAAAGAGGAACGGCTACGATCAGAGCCACTGAATCTCGTGTTCAAAGAGGGCCGCGGAGGCATTGGGTTGGACAGCGAGAAGAAGCGCAAATTCCGGGAGGAGGCGGAAGAAGCTTTGAAGAAAGTTAAGCAAGAAGAAGGAGATTACAGAGACCGCGTTCGGCAGGAGCGCGAGACGCGACGGACAGAAGCGCAAGTGCACGCCGCGCAGAAGGTAGCGGAGCGATTGGATGCTGAGGCTGAGGGTGAGACTGCGGATGGGGTTGTGGAAACCGCAGAGACGGGCCAGACGGAGAAGGAGGATAAATCCCCGGATAGGGAGCAGTCCCCCGATGAGGGCTCAGTGGAAGATCCGACCGGTGAATCGCGCGCCGCACGCGCCAAAGTGAGAGTCAAGCCCACGTCCCAGATCAATGTCTTGTACAGAGGCTTGGTGCGCGAGCGTGAGGAGAAGGAGCGAGCTCTACAAATGCGCCATGCTCTTCAGACTTCGCTCCCATCGTCATTCTTCCCCCACCCCCAGTTACCGGGGTATGACGATCCTACGCTGGAGCCAGACGACAAAGAAGCACTTGGCTCCGGGAAAGATACGTCTACTATACTGGAACAAGAATTGGAGGAGGAAGACCCAGAACTTGATGAGTTCAACGCGCTGGATCCGAGTGAACGGCTGGCCCGGTTAGTCGTATATCTGCGTGAGCGACATCGATACTGCTTTTGGTGCAAGTATCGCTACGAAACTGGTGAGATGGAGGGGTGTCCTGGTCTCACTGAAGAAGATCATGATTGACATGCGTTCATATATTGGTGACTCTCCAGAGACGCCCGAATTCGGATTCTCAGAGATCTAAGCAACTTAGACGACTGTACAGCATACCCTTGAGGAATATCATAGAGAACAGAAACCATCATCCACTCTAGCTCGGGACCAAAAAGGTATATAAACAGACTCAAAACTCCCGTCATAACGCATCCAGAGTACAGCATCGCATTAGGCAGGTCATTGACCAAAGGAAGCATTGAAAAATATATATATAATTCCGAAATCGTCGATCATACCGATGTCGACGATAGGATCACGATTCATCAACCAACACGTCGCATTAAGAATTTGCAGGCATCGTCTCCATCAATCGAGCCAGCGAGCGATTCGGCACCTTCTGCAAGCTCTGATAGCAGTCCGCGCAGATGCGCAAGCAACAGAAGACACACCTGTAGCGCATCTCCCGGTCGAATTTTTGGCAGGCCATGCACGGCAACGAATACCAGACGTTATTGGCCGGCATCATGCTCCGATGCTCCTGGAAACAAGCATAATGCAGTCGGTTCAGTGGCACCGTGACCGGTTCGATCTCGGGAGGGGTGAAAGGCCCATTATTCTCGTCACTCGACACAGAGTCGAGGCGTCCACTGGCACCGTCCAGTTCCGGTTCGTGCTCGGGCTCGGGCTCGGGATCCGGGATGAAGTCCTCTAATGGGTCACCTGCATCTGGTGGTACTGAGTTTTCGCTGGAAGGGGTTTGTTGATTTGGGATATGGACTGGTTGTTCATCGCGGACTCTGGCAGGAGGCCCGTAGTTGTGGTTCCGCGCAGCTGAGGGTTCGTTTCTGAATGCTGGGTGGATATCCTCCCGCCCTAGGGGTGCCGATGTGGAAGGAAAAGCCGGCAGTGGATTCGGGGGCAGTTCCTTGTCATTCTGTGGCCGTGCAGGTCGAATGGGGGCAGAGTCGGTTCGGACGGGGTACTGAGGAGGAGCGACGGGAACTGGAGGCGTAGGAGCAGCAGCCGAAGGAGCAGTAGAAACAGGAGCGGGAGCTGGAGCTGGCTCGTGGTCGATGGGTTTCTTAGATTTGAAGGCGGAAAGCGACGGAACTCGCAGTCCACGAGGCCGATTCTCCTTCTGCAGAATGGCCATGGCTTATGAGATTGACGCTTTGCTTTCACCCAGAAATATTAGAATCAATATATTTTCGATACTGAAGACGTCTGTGGATGATTTCAAGCAATTGAGCAGAAAAATTTTTTTCGATCAATGCAACCAGACCAATTCTGGAGGAAACAGACACTTCAGCAGTGCAGAGGCTGTGGAGAGGTTAGTTTTCTCTTAAGATACCAGAAAGAAGCAAAAAGGCGCCAATAAACAAGAGTACGAAGTATCATTCGTGATCATCTGAGTTGGACTACGTAGGTTCCTGGTATTTTGCAGTCATTCTTATGGTCCAACCAAGCAGGATTCCGCCGTGGGAAATCCGGGTATCTCGTCAGAGAACCATGGACTGGACGTATCCACTCTTAGGGTCTTTAGTTAGTGGTAGGGAACAGTCCTATAAACAGGGCCAGTTGTGACACGCCGGACGGAGATTAGGATGAGCTGAAAGTGCTCCAATTCTGAGAGTCCATTGGTGTGCTCAGCCGGCCGTTTTCGTTATCTATTGATTAGTTTCGGAGTGGAAGAGACGGAAACAAAGAACACTCGGCCGCTTTCAGAGCAAATGAAGATCCAAGGTAGTCGTTTCTTTTAGGTACAGACATCAAAGGTGATAGATCATATCTTTTTGATCCTCCCTACACAGTGACGGCCTGCTTCTCTGGCAGGATTCAATAGGTAGGCTGACTAGTTCATGATTATGCAGCGCTAAGGAGGAATCCTTCAAGGCAACCGAAAAAATCAGGCAGACCAGAAGGTCGGCTTTACAAGATGACAAACTACCTAAATCCTGCGTATGATTAAGAATGAGACAAATTCCTCTCCAAATATTTGATGTGCTCCGCGCAATGAGACTAACAATGACCCCCATCAGGTTGTAGATAAACAGACGTAAAACTGTCAAACGTCCTGTTTTACGTCCAAGGGGAGCTGTGGGGGCTGTGGATCTCACTGGGGATAATAATAACCGGGCACTAACAGTACCAGGAGGAATGCAGGTACCCTTCCATGTATCCTTCTAATCTACATCATTGCGAGTGATTATAATGTCAGATGGTGGTCTAACAATCTACAAGAACAAGAATGCTGCTGAAGTCACCACTTGAGTCTTTCTTTGATTATACAGAGCATACAATGTATACACCCTCTAATGCCTACATTAACAGCATTGATTGAAACGCCATCTGAAACAATCGATCCGTGAAACGATCAAGCCTCCTGATCTACCGAAATTAATTACGACTCACTAGCTAGTACTTACGAAGTTATGATACGCTTGTTGGCAAAAGTTTCTATGATTGATCTGAGAGACTGAGCCTCATTCTGACTCGGGGCTATGGCAAACAGTTCCCGGCCTAATAGAGAACTGTTCTTCGCCCTCCGTATGGAAGATCTGTCAAATTACCAACTCTGATAGAATCCTTAACGATCGTGCTTCCATGGTTTATCCAAAGACAGTAGAAATATCTCATTTTGCCCTGTCGAAAGGAAGGGCTCGTCCCAAACCACATTGAAGCTCATTTAGCTCTCGGGACCCGTCAAAAACAAAGACAACCACGGCCATAAAAACTAGATGCAGTCTCGCTGCCCATCTGCGCTAGTACAGGAACACAATCACATAAAAGGGAAAAAAACAGATCTACTGCACTGTATATGTATATAAAAGAGGTCAGCCCGCCGAGAGAATATAATGAAATACGGAGAGAGGGATGAGGTAAAGAAGACAAAAAGTCAAGGAGTAAGTTGGCGATTGTCTCCAACCATAAGTGCTTCTGGCACTGCTCGCAACTAGCCGGGTCTCTCATCGTCATATATGAGACAACGCCGTGGAGGCTGGAATGCCCTCGGATGAACCTTTCTAGCACTTCCTCAAGTTGTTGCCTCGGCATTTCGCGTGGCGCTGGTAATCTCCACCGACCGAGTCTCGAGTTCCTTGGGCATCAAGCAGTCCCGGTCCTCTGCGACGGTTCCCACAGCTATCGGGTCAGCAGGCGCAGTGGAGTGGCCAGGCATCTCATCGGCCACAGGCGCAGCGCTGGAAGCAGACCCCTCGGCGCTCGGTTTTGATGAAGTATCTTCCACATGCTCTGCAGTTTCATCGCCTTTGTCTTCATCTCCGATAACAGCAGCTAAGCTGCGGAAGTTGAACAGCGGCTCGGTGGACGAAGCATTGCCATCGTAAGGCCCACTGTGATCTTCTCCCGTTGACTCAACAAGTGATGAGAATGATGAGGATGCACTGGATACCTGACGCAGATGCGATGGTTTTGGCGGCTCGCGCGGCGAGGGCTGAGCCATCGAAGACTGCGCGCTTGATCCATGTTCCACCACGTTTGGGTGCGGGTTGATGGTCATAGAATCAGAGGCGATTTCGGTACTTGACTGCGAGGAAGCAGCGGTAGCAGATGGCGATGCGCGATCCACTTCCTTACCCTTGCCTGGAGATGCATCCTCGCCAGTTATCGAGGAGGAGCTGCTCGTGACCCTTCCAAGTCGGGCATCGGAAGGAACGTCCAACGCGGAGCTGCTAGCATTGTTGCTGTAGAACCCATGCTTGCGCGCAGCCTTCTCTGCCTTTTTGCTTTCCTTCTCGCGCCGCTTTGCTTCTTTCCTGGCCTCTTTCTCGGCCTTTTTGCGCCTCTCTTCCTCGCTAGCCAAGCTCAGTCTGATCGCTTCCATCATCATCATCTCTTCGAGATCATCAATACGGTTCCGTCTCGAGCTGTTACGAGGCGGTGCTAGATTCCCTGCGCCTTCTTCTGCGGAGTCTGTTTCATGTCCCGGTGCACGTCTGTCGGTCAGAAAGGCAAGCGCCTGTAGAGCTGGGGAGCCTGAGCGGCTCGAGGCGCTCGGAGTCTCCGATTGACCAGCTCTCCGCATTACGCCTCTTCGTCCAAGACCGAAATTTCTGCTTTCATTCCCCGATGCGTTAGAATTCATTAAATATGCAGCGGTATGCAGAGCCGTGGCCGCGGCGGATCTTCGCGCAGCATGAGCCCGGGCATTCGCTAGTTTTTGAGCCCAATCAGGACGAACTCTGTCTGTCGTGATGACCGTAGGGTCATTGGCAGACAGCGAGGTAGCGCGCCGACGACCCGTCCCTGGAGGCGCATTGGCCGAAGCTAAAGACGACGTCGAGGACACTGGAGAAGCAAAGTTGGGCCGAAGTGTAGGATCTGTTGCGTAAACGAGCCCTCTGCGGAACGGTGGAGGACTGTATGTGACTCCGAATTCGGGTTGTACACAAAATGGACATGCAGCAGGCTCAGATACTAGTTGGCAGTCTTGATTGTCCTGACGATCGCCCTCCGTGGTGGTGGCATTGGGTTCCGCTTCTCCGTGTTCAGGCGGATGTGGATCGGGCCGCTTAATTTGAACGAAGCATTCCGAACAGATAGGCTGGTCGCAACACCTCGTGCGGTTAAGGTAAGGGGGATAGTATAAGAAGCATATCGGACATTCGGTTGCATCTTTATAAAGATATGCTTCTATTGGCTGCCCATTGACAAATGGGTCTTTAGGTAGATGTATCTCCTTAGGCGTCGAATCGATCTGAGAACCAAGCTTGGATGTGGTGAGTGAAGCCAAGGTTTTCGCCCGGCTTCGAAACAACGGTGAGGTCGACGTACCGGAAGCTATGGGAGAGACGGGCGTTGGCAGAGAATGCGCCGGGGTTGATGATTGCGAGGCTTCCGACCCGTAGGATTGCGACCTTGACGTAATTGGCACCATCAAGTGTTGAATGCTGGACTCCTTCCCATCTTCGGTCAATTTCGGCGGGTTCTTATATTCCAGCTCCGGGGGAATCTCGTCTGGTGGCGGTATTGGCAGGCCACGCGCTGCTGCCATCAGTTGATGCTCAGTCCACGACTCCGAGAAATCATTCAGTCCTCTCCAAAACGGCGCGAGTCTCCGCTCAATCTGAGCCACAAGATCAGTTTATGTCAGGAATGGGCTGTAGGGGGGTTGTAGTTACCATCAGTTGCCGAGTTACTGCTTTATTGAAATCCTCAGTGCCCACGTATACGCCCTGCGTAACCAGATAACCGCCATCGACATGCTCTTCCCTCATGCTACGCTCTCGTTCTTTGACCCGAGCTGCCCGCTCCTTTTCTAGCCGACGAGCTTCTCGCTCCTGCTTTGTCTCTCTCCGATGCTCAAGAGTGGCCACATCCCTCTCGGAACTCCCACCGATTCCAAGGATAGATAGGTCTGGTCTACTACCTCGAGACCTGGAACTTTCCGCATGATGCCGGTCGCTGTACGGCGATCTCCCGTGACTGCTAGAGGAACCCCATTGATGACTTCGGCGATTGGAAGAACTGAGAGGAGGACGGGATTCTTTAGTTTGCGAATTACCCATCCTTGCCCTAAACGAGAGGGTGGGTTGTAATACAGAACGAGCTTGTCAGGATGGTTCGGGATGAACTGCGGCCAACTCGTACTTGAAAGGCTGTTTGACTTCGACGACGCCACGCCAATTATAGGCGTATAGGGAATTTATCAGATGTATCGATGAGTAGTCCTAGCAAGATGAAGCACGGAAGAAGGGAGGTTTCAGTTCTTAGAGCGGGGATGTAAATGATGTGGTGATAATGAACCCGATGTGGCCATGTGAGCGACGGATGTGGCTACTCAGTGCGGCGATGAGATCAGAATGCGGGCTTTGAGTTAGCCGCGGGAATATGGAATACGCCGGATCAGGGAGAGAAATCGGAGATCTGGTATCAAACTTGGAAACCGAGAAAAGTATCGAAAACAAAAATAAGAGAGATACTCGATGGAACTGATAGCGTGAGCTTTCAAAGAGCAGGAGGGAACTGAGAAACAGACAAGATTCGGAGAGGGCGGATTGGGCTCCCAAGATAGTCGAAGTTACTAAAGGTGAGATCGATGACTTTTGAGTTCAATAATGGCAAGGTATTAGCCCATACATACATGAATACCTTACCAACAATACTAGCGCAAAAGGCGCATTCGGCCTGTAAATTTGGTAATATGACAGGTAAGGTAACATGCAGTCATCGATCATTTCCATTCCATCAAAAGAGGCTGTGGCTACTCCGTACACCGGCTAGACCCTTGTAAACGCCCTTTTTCCGTAGATCGGTGACAGTGGGGTTGCGATCAAATAATGTGGACACATGTACTCCGTAGTCCGTACCTCTATACGGAAGTACTCCGTGCTGCCCATAGATGGCACTTTTGGACACGGAGCAGGAAGCAAGGTACAAAGGTTTAATACTGCAGTTCAGTCTGTTGAGGGCTTGAGGCTAGCGAAGTATGTACAGTATGCACTAGTCTCTCCAATTTTCTGTCTTGCTCTACGATAATGATGATAACACCCCTTCGGATCCGATACCATGCATTCTCGTGTACCCCTCGGTACTGAGTATGGAATTACCTCTTCAAGGACTACCGCGCATCTACCTGGCCTTGGCAGGACATGTCATATGTGGCTAGTGAGCGGGCTTGCCGCGCCACACCTGCGCCTGGATCTGGCGGTCGAAAATCCCAATGCCAAGAACATATTTTTTGTCTGCTCAGCTACTTTGCGGCTTGCATTTGCATTCAATCTTTTAGGAGAGCCAGTTCAATGTTAGTGATTTTGTCTCTATCGTGTTGATTCCAGGGACCCTCGCTTGCATAATCCAATCAGATGCAGCTCTCTTAAATTCCTAGTATCTCTTCCAACTCATCAGTTACTACAAAAATATACAGGATCTCTCGATACAGCAAATGACTACCACAGCATCAGAGACCACGCGCCTACACATCACTCCTTTCACTCCGGATCTCTTGCCCTCTGTACTACCATCTTCGGTCCGAGCATCCGCAAAAGATATCTCTTTTCATAGCATTCCAACGTTTCCCGAGAACAATTACGGCTACGTGACGCTGCCGACAATGGAAGCGGATAAGATCAAAAAGAAGCTGAATGGTTCAATTCTGAAAGGAAGAAAGTTTAGAGTCGAGACTGCACGGTCGCCGAAACGACAAGAAGTGGATGTTGAAGCCGACACTGTTACGTCGACCACAAAGACTACGTCCGACAAAGTATCCAAAAAGCGCAAGGCCCATGACAACGTTCTCGATGGATACGAGCTTCCGTCCGGCCGTCAAGTGAAAAGAGGGTGGACAGAGTCGACCAATGCCAAGAAAGAGAGACGTAAGGACGAAAAGATGAAGAAGGGAAAGGGTGACAAAAAGGCGAAGACCCAAGCAAAATCGAAGTATACTGAGAAGTCAGAATGCCTCTTCCGAACCAAGATACCCAAGAACCGATCTGCGTCTCCCGATGAGAAGCAGGAAAAGCAGGCCAAGAAGAAAAAAAAATCTCCACAGGAATCCGTTGTCCATGAGTTCGCCACAACCATCACCCATCCGAGCTTCTTACGGTCGGAAGGAGATGGAGCAGCACCTACATCTGCGTTTGAGGAAGGCAAAGGTTGGATAGATTATGCAGGAAACCTCAAAGAGACGGTTGGTGACCGTTTGAGAAAAGACCAATATCGCCCGGGGCAAGTCGCTGGGGCTAAGGAGAAGCGAAAGTCGGCGAAAGCTCATCCAACGACGCAGGAAACGCATCTTGAGAAAACAAAGGATGACGGAATTGACTCGGCAGATGAGTCAGAGGATTGGACATCTTCTAGCGGGACGACGTCATCTGATGACAGCAGCACAGACTCAGAAAGCGAAGACAGCATGTCGTCTGCATCTTCTGAATCAAGCGCGTCTTTCAACCAAGACGAACAGCAACAATCACATACGTTGCCGGGGAAGGAAAAGGTGCCGTCGCCTCCGAAGACTGACGAGCCTGAGCTAGTACCTGGTAATGCTACGCCCTCTGCGCAAACGACTCATGGAACAGATTCCAAAGATGTGCACCCTTTAGAAGCCCTTTTCAAGCGGCCTGCTGTCGAATCTTCAGATAGCAAACCCGCGCCAGAAACAAACACCCAATTCAGCTTCTTCGGACAGGATGACATCGAATCTGAAGAAGAGGAAGAGCAGAACAAGGAGCCGCAGACACCCTTCACAAAAAGGGATCTACTAAGTCGGGGATTACGAAGTGCTGCTCCAACACCAGACACAGCCTTGATCAACCGAAACTTCGATTGGAACAACGATGATTCTGATGCCATGGAAGTGACTGAGGAATACGCAGACACTCCTATTGCTAGGTCTGAAACTAAGGCAGGGTTGAAAGAGGATTCCGAATTTACCAAATGGTTTTGGGAGAATCGTGGAGATAATAACCGTGCCTGGAAGAAGCGCCGGCGCGATGCTGCCAAGGAACAAAGACAACGGGAGAACCGCAGAAAGGGAATGAAGGGAAAATCCTGATCAGATGGTTCAAGGTTCTGTCGATGTCAGATCATATATTGTTGTGTATAGAATATTAGGGACCTCTACCCCTTCTGAGATTGCTGGAAATCTTAGCCTATCACATCAGATCATCCAATACTGGGTTGAAAAAGCTATAGATCCAGGCTACAATCCAGCTATTGATCCACATGTTCACCTAGAATATATAGAATATGGCAAGCGTTCTAGCTGCCCAAAGGTGATCACTAAAGCTATTAAAGAGGGTATTCTTAATTCTCTTCACAAAGATCAAAATGGGCGTCAGAAATCATCTGAAATTCTGACATATAGGCTAGTATCTCCTATTCTTCTATTTTACATATTCTTAAGCAGTGTGGCTTTAAAAGCTGTTTAACAAATAACTAAACCAGGCCTTACTGATGACAGTGTCGTTGATATCCATCAACATGGAAGCATGGAGTGATAGCTTAACAGTAATAGTTATGATGCAGGGTTTACAGCATTTACCTTGGACAAGAGGTTGATGAGCAGGAGTTTACAAAGGTATATGTGCCATGGCTATTCACTGCTTTATACTAATCTCTGAATAGGATAATTGGCGCTTAGTTTCAGTTAACATATTGCAAGTCTGTTGAAGAGAATCAAGAATCAACCTATGCTTTGTCAATCTGTCCTTTTCTGGAGAAGCACGACTATATATGGAGTATCACCCCATTTTGAGAGATACATCGTTAAAGGGAAACGTACTATGAAGGAATTTGCTGGCTCCAGTTCGATATCCTTGCTTTGAAGCTTGGTTTCACCTGACTCAAGGTGATACCTTACTGGTGGCAAGTCTTTATCTTAAATCCTTGATTTGCATGGATTGCAGGTCACACTGATCCTGCTGCATTCCAGCCATAGAGTTGATCATTAAAGCTCTTTCATTGTCTAGTGACAGTCCATCTTTGTCAAGACAGATGGGGTAGGATCTATATCTTTTCCTACAGCACCACCCCCTGTTCTATATTGCGCTGCTCTGAACTGTGGGATGCGCTTTTTACCAAAGCAGCTTCCTTTTCCTCTCTACCCAGGCCACCCTTTGCATTCAATGATAACCACACAGAAAAGGATATGATGATGCAGAATGCTGTGAGCACCACAAAGTAAATACCCAGGAGAAGTCCCCTCCAAGATGTGTTTCTGTCTAAATGCCAGCAAACCAGCCCGACAAGGAACTCCATTACAGAAAGATTAAGTAAAACCAGCGGCGCCCAGGCCAATACTAGCTCACCTTAAGTCGCCTTTTCCGCCCCTTTAAATCGAAAAAGCAACATAATGCATATAACGGCGGACGTAATGGCAGTAGTAATGGAGCTATAGAGTAGGCTTCAGAAGTAGATGCAAGGCTGGAGCTTGTAGGGTGGAAGTCTTCCAAAAGTGCAGTGGCGCCAGCAACGCTGATGAAGCCATTCAGAAGGGCAAATATCTTATAAAACCATTGAAGATGTTAGAACACAAGAAACCCTCATGTGTTGAGATCTTCGTTCCTGTAGTGGACGATCAATGACCAGCAAGACGGGACAACCTTTGGCAGATTTGGGAATCTGACCTCAGTACTGAATGTCATATGCTCACGCGATCATGGGTAGTAAGGGACCAACCAGTACACTATTAAACTTTGATTTAATAGATCAGTGCTCTACCTCTTGAGAGGTAGTAGTCCAATAATTTTCACCATGCATATCATAGTGACGTCTGAACTGTATTAGATTCACTTTTCATAGCTTGGATCCTTACTGGGACCACAATAAATTCAGCCTTTTAAGTATATTCCCAGTCTCTCTCCTTTATGCCCTTATTTAGCTCTTTCAGAGTACATATAAGGGAAGTCGGCCTTCCCAGACATCAAACATAACTTTTATGCTAGGTTCTATTGTGTAAACTTAATAAAGTCACCAGACTGGTGGGGATGGTAATCTGTTCACTACAGAAATTAAAATGAAAGCCTCTCAGTTTGCTATATAAGATGGCTTGAGTAACTTAAACCTTACACCCTTCACATGCAGTAGCAAACATTCTGTCTCTTTCCCTCACAGCTACTTTTCAACTGTTTTAACTTTGACAAGCTTAGGCCACCGCACTATTAGATATAATGAAGTAATCCAAAGGACTTGCTTCATTTAGGTCCCATCTACAAGGTTTTGCCAGATGTCCTGGCCTTAAGCTTAAGAAGATATAATTCTCCTGGGTTGCGAAAAGGATAGTCATCAAAGCTTCAGTGATATAGATAAGAGGAACTAGCACAGGACTTAGAATTATATAAGAATAACAAAATCCATACACACATTGGGATCTAGGATTTTGTTTACATGAGGTGTGCGCTTTGAAAGCCTGAGTTTTTAAAACTTTGCATGAGTAAGATGTTCTTGGATCCTCCTTCTAAGACCTATAGCACAGTGGCTGCAAGAGACAGCAGCAGCGGCGCCAATGTATATCTTGAAGTCATCATTATCTTGATAAGTAATGATATCCGCATAGATGCCTTGGCTTTAATCACAAGTAACTTTGCCAATGGAAAGTAGTCTGGTTTGCTGTGACTATTTAGTCTCTTTTATTGTACTTGGGAACTCACCTTGCAGTGGTGAACTACTCTACTGACAGTATAACATCAAAGCCTAAGGGACAAATAGCTTTGGCAATTATTGCTGCAATTAACTCTGCTGAACTTACCTTCATGTATGAACTGACAGGTGGTATTACTCACAACATCCGCAACAAGATGTACTGGTAAATTTTTCTAATCAGCTATAATAGCAATTAGGATATCTCCTGCTCTTTTCTGTTAAAACCAGTTGCCTCCTCAGCTGGCTGGGGCTGCAAGATACAGGAAGATGATTGGGATACAAGGCAACCCCATTTAGGCTCTGGAACAGTGAGGAACGCTCCATCTGACCAAATAACACACTATGAGATATTTACCTCGCCCCCTTGTCTATAAGATGTGATTATATTCTTGGAAAATAAGAAATGCAACATCTTGTCGGCCTGGCCGACCGCTGCGCCCATAGCTGACTGGATCCAGTGGCTTAAACTGGAACCTTTGTGGTTGCCCACAGCGCACATCCCTGATATTAGGATGCCGAGCTGCCGGGAGTCGCTATTATACAGTTTTTATACTTAGGTCTGGCAGTGTATGGAGTGTAGTGGTCAGTATATAAACATGCTGAGACATGTGGAGTCCATATTTGAGGCCAACAAGTAATGGAATTGTAATATCGATGGGCACCGTCTCCTTTTGTCATTGGCGTAATAAAATAGCGTTTTATAGTCCCTCCTAGGCGAAGAACATTCACATGGATAAGGCTGCCTTTCCTTAAGCGATCCAGATGGCGGTTAACTCCGCACTCTTAATCAAGGTGGATGCTACGCCATTTGTCCCACCAGTTGTTGTAACCCACCAATAGTTGCTCATGCCGAGCTTACTAGCGGCAAATAGTTCTGCGCCACACCTCCATATAAGATGTACATAGAATGGATCAACAAAGAACATTAAACATCCCAATACACTCATAATATAGTTACTTGATGCAGCATGATGTCAAAGCAGGGATTGTATAGATGAGCCAGCATGGTGATTGCCCACTGCACGCAATACAGGTGGTACATACATATCATACTGGAGTACCATATGATATACATGACTATATGTTACATCTTGTTTTAATCGCCATCACCACCTCTACTCCCACCTTATGTCTATTTCTCTATCTTCTCATATTCAGTACATCCAATTACATGCTACATTGTCTATATCTGATATCATATCACATACACCACCAGTGATAAGTCTTGGCTATCTTGCCTCAGATACCCTACGGCGTACAATCAGAAGGCCCATTGGATACTACCTCAGCGCGACGGTCTATTCAGGTGGCCCCATTTGGCCTCTGTTATAACCTGATGCTACTGTCTCATTGCAGAGGGCCCAATGACCGGTCCAACCTGGTCCATCTTTCGAGTGTGGATTGTCACATTATTCAGATCACATGGTCTGACTTGTACGGTGAGATACTCAAGAGCTTCTAGGCATCCAAGTGGTATATCTGATATACTATGTATACGGACTTCGTTTCTAGAAGATAAAATATGAAAAAAAATTGGCCAAACCACATCTATATACCTATAGCGTTCTGATAGATTGGGGGGGCTTTGCAATTATACTGTGGCCTACATGAGTTGGCGGTTCATCCGACGACAAATCTAGTACCAACATAATGAAGGACCCACGGGCGATGCAACCAAAATATGCCTGGTTGTTGCCTCTTCCACCAATACCTTATATCCAAAACTAACAACATTGGTCTCCAAACAGGAATTCTGTGGTCTCGCTTCAGCGAGTGGGGGCCAAAAGGCTCAACACTCCAGAACATATGTAAACTTCTATCTTGAGATGCTCCACAGTGGAAGCTATACCGAGCAAGAAAGTTATATAAACAGTCATGAAGCCGGGGAGACTGCGATCCAGGACTAACTCAACTTCTTTTGTTCATTCTCAGAAAGAGCCTACTCTTTAACTTAGAATACAAACACTCTTGAGAAATTCAGTATGCTTAGCAGCATCAAGTCCACTCTTCTCGCTTCGCTGGCTCTAGCTTTCACCGCGCAAGCGTGCCTCGAAGTTTCAGGTTATGCTTCCACCGGTCTCGGCGTCCGCGTGAATCTGGAATTCGTCGACAACGGATCAAAGGTCATCGATGGCGGCGTAGATGCCGCTAAGGGCACCATAAACGGTAACGAGGGTTACTCGGTGGACTTTGACTGGAATGAGACTGCGGGCCCCATTCATGTTACCTACAAGACACCCCACGGAGAATTTGTATTCGACGTCGATAACAATGGCTGCAGCTACTGGAACTGCTGCGGAGGTTAGTTTCTGTCCTATTGGCGCATAAGAGGGAATTGCTAATGAAGACCTAGGTACCATCCCTTGCAGCTGTGCGTCTTGCCAGTTCCGTACTAGACAGTACTGCTGAGCCAATTGATCGAGACATAATGGAGCCTCAGCCAGCACTGTGGTAGGACTAGGGATTCAGAAGGCACAGAATGTACGGAGGTGTGGTGCATAACTATTTTGCTGCTTGTAAGCTTAGCACGAGCAACTATAGCAACCATACACAGGAGCACTAGCAAAATGACTAGACAAGCTATTAGTCTATCCATATCTTAGACTCTAGGTACTTCATCTTTGGTGAAAAAAGCAATTTGAAGCTATTCAAACCCCTTTTTATCATATCAATAAGGATTCAACGCAGCTCCCTCCTGCAAATCACCATACTGCCTGCCTGCCTGCCTGCCTCGTGTTCGAAATCGCTGAAACGCATGCCTAAGATGCCTCATTCGATAAGCGTACATGTTCAAGCTTTGACTATGGCCTCTCTTGGTATTGATATCAAGATAATCTCAAAACAGACAATGTAACTTGCAGCAAGTACGGCAAGTCACATGACTTCAAGGCTCCGGGGAAAGCTACCTTATCATCGCTGTCGCTGTGCACATCGTATCGTGCAGTATAAATGGTACATCAAAAATGAGTTCTGCACAGAAATACCGCTGTTGAATTCAATATTACATTCATCTTTCTTCCTAAAAGTTTTTATCGACGTCATGTCACTCCGGAGTAGCAGTCTCTATCTTCTTTTCATGGTTCTAGTGCTTCTGTCCTGTACATCCTTCACATTAGCTTCCAGTGAGTTCGACCCTTCCCATCGCTATCTGACACTCGTGGCTGTCGACTGACAATCCCTATTTGATAACTAGCACCAGCATCATTCTGCAAATGTACCTGCTTCACAAATAGCACGATTATACCCTTGGACTCTCCGAATCCCGAGTCGACTCCACCTCTTAATTCCTTTGACCTTCGCGATGACAACGCTACGTCTCACGAGAAAAGGGTCAACAAATATCGCGCTCTGAGCTGCAATGACTGCAATCGCAAGTTCTGCCTGGATTATAATCTACCGATGTGTAAAGGCGCAAAGGAAGATGATGTCTTCACAACCTGCTTCCGTATGGCATAGCCTCCACTGCCTGGTCGAAGGAATCTTGACACGGGTTATCCCATATTCTCTAGAGCTATAGCGGCTGACCTTGTGGCAATCAGAGCGAGATTCCAGGAAGGACGAGGCTATAGTCTTCATCTTCATCATCGCCACCAGCGGTCTCCTGACCTGGGCAGCTTGCAAGCCATGGGTAGAAAAGTGGCTCGAGGTATGGGGTGGTCAGGGACAAGCGTCTTCAGAACAGCGGACTAACTTGATGTGTTCAGGCAGCACGAGAAAGACGATCGTATATTCCAGTTTCTGAGAACGCTGAACGTTAGCAATCAATACCGGGATGATTGTCGGTTGATCGATACATCAGTTCTACTTCTTTATCACTTGGCTTGGTTTCGCGATATCCTCTATGAAAACTTCCTTCTGCTACGCTGTTACGGCATCCTCTCACGCAACTTGCGCGTAGCGCTTCAATCACAGGGCATCAGAGTTGTTCATCGGCTCACTGACGGAATATAAGACCTACAAGACCTAGTGTTGATTTGGATCCGCTGACAAAAAAAGAACAATCTATTAGTTGCATAGGTTGAGGATCATTAGGCATTAACCTCCCGAACACAGACCAAAGCGTTTCCGCTCGCAGCAGATTGATTGGCTTAAAAGCTCACAGTGGAGGCCAAATCGACTTATCGAAAAGCCCTAGTACATTAACGCCTACCTTAATGTGACGATGGCCTCAGAAATCTGAGTGCTCCTCCAACCATGTGCAAGCTCCCCGTTACAAGCACTTGCATTCCATCTTCACGGCCTCCCATTATTCTGGCAAGCGTCACTGCTCTCTCGATGGTTGGTGTACTTGTAACCGTAGCCTGGGGATCAAGTTCCTTCCACACCGAGGAGTACAAAGCGCATAAATCATGGATTCGAGCCTCAGAGGCTTCCGTGACTCGGTCTGATCACACAATGTTAGCTCATCAGTTATGATCTGCAAAAGCTTCGACTGTTCTACTTACCGATAGAGTCATCCTCTTTCTCTTGATAGGTAGTGAAAATGACATGGTCAGGTTTCACTTTGTTTTTGAAGAGTGCATGCGCGAGAGATCGAACGAGCGTCACCCCATCTCTCGCTTCTGATAAATGACTGAAAATAAGGGAGCGGCACCTTTGTATTTTAGCTGACAGCCATTTGAAACTGAATTAGTCGACTTACTTCCGGTCATTACTGGCGTTCTTAGCAAACCATTCTGCAGCTTCTTTTAAACTCAGAACGTTGTGCGCCCCATCCACGAACCATTGTACTTGCCCTTCATCTATAACTTCGAATCTCCCAGTCAACAAGAAACTTTCAACACCATGATAGATGTCTTCGTCACTAATTATATGGCCAGGCGCCTTCGCATGAATGAATGCTCTACTGAGCTCAAGTGCCAAGGAACAGTTCAATCGTTGCACTGGGACGCTGAGTACTCTACCAGCAGTGGGAAGGCACTCATTCGTTGAAACGAACGTCAACGTCGTGCCTTTATCAAGAGCACGGTTGCGCATAACCTCCGCAGGGCCCGGTTTCTGGTTTACAGAGAAAGCAGGGGCACCAGGTTTAAATATCCCTGCTTTATGCCAGGCGATTGTCTCGATGGTAGGTCCAAGCTGTGCAACATGATCCATTCCAAGGGACGTGATTCCTGTCGCAACAGGGCTCTGGATCACGTTTGTAGCATCGTACTCTCCGCCGTGGTGGACCTCGAAAATCGCCGCCTGTACTCCTTCTCTGATGAAAGTGTGGAAAGCCAACAGGACCAGAAACTGGAGGTATCGAGGCTGCCTAGCATTTCCTGAATCCTGCTCTATATCCTCAGGCATAATGCGATCCCACACTTCAAAGAAGTATTTGGTAAACAAATCTTCGGGGACTGGATGGTCGTCGAGCTGTATTCTTTCACGAATGCATTGCAGATGTGGACTGGTGTAGAGCCCAATGCGCTTGGGAAATCCTGTCCTCATACCATGTGCACGAAGGATGGCGCGTGTAAAAGCGCAGGTGCTACCTTTCCCCTTCGTGCCGCTGACATGAATTACATTCAAGCTGTTGACCGCATTATCCTAGAACAAGTCAGATTGTTGGTGTACCACAGCTCATAAATCACTCGTACCGAGTGTCCTAGGAGCTGCAGCCATTCCTTCATTCCAACCAAGCTGGGCAGACCTTTCAGAGAATTCCCTTTCACTGTCGTTGTACCTTGGACTGTGGAAACCGAAGTTATCAGACTCGTTGGTCGGGCTTTACGCCTTCTAGTTTCGAGGAGTTTGAGCGCATTCTTCCCGTCGTTAGTCCTGGTATCACAGCTCTGTAGAAGGAAATACCTCGTAAGTGCGCTTCATTATGCCTTCTGTGATGATTTAATTCAGATGTGACAATTCCACCACCACTTTTGAGGTTGCCCTCCGATTTCCTTCCTGGGTCTGTCAGGGTGTCTTAAGCTGGCATGTGTGCACACTACACTAAGTCCGTTACCCCGCAACAGCTAAGGTACTTAGTACGAGTCGCAGCCGGCCTGTCTGACAAACAGTTGCCGGGGTTGCGCCAAAAGCTTTAACCTCATTTTTCTAGCGCTTGCTACTGAAAGAAGGTTTCGGTTATCAACTATAAATTAACGCCTAAAGTAAACCTCCGTACGTGCCATCAAAAGAAATCACCGAATCGTTTCTGTGCCTTCATAGAGACAGATGCGTGGCTTTGGTGATATAGTCATGCCAATGCGAATTGAAAAGGGGAATCCAATATACCCGAGCCTCCGATGCCATGTTTGTTCTCGCCTCTTGCAGAATATGCTTGCTATCTGTCTCACACCCCATCATTAAAAGTGTATGTGCGACGGAACAACGCACAAGACCAGCATTGAAACTCTTGTCCTGGCCCAGGCGCCCCAAGGCCGATAAAGCGTTTCTCCAGCGCAAAATCGCTTGCTCCCACTCTGACTGCTTATGAGAAATCCTCGCCAGTGAAATCCAGAGGCGGAAAATGTTGAATTGAGCATTATAGTCCGGTTCATCAGAAGACGAAAATGCGCGATGAAGCTCAAGCAGAAGCTCCTCCGCCTGCGCAAACATGTTCCGTTCCAGGTATGTCTCCGCGAGCGACATTCTTAGCCGTCGGCCCGTGGCAATGTCTTGCGTGCCCTTCTCTCTCATTGGGGTCAACTCCTGAATCAAGAGCTTTTCTGCCTCAAGAGGCTGTCCCAATTCGCACCGTAGGTCGGCGACTTCCGAAAGGAGGACCCGATACCAGCCAGTTCCCTCAAAGTATTCGTCTAGAAGGCAGTCTTGAAGGACACCGTTGAGTTGAGCCAGGGCTTCATGGAAGAGGCCCTGGAGTCGAAGGGTCTTACCCAGAGTTATATCCCGGGCTCTTGAAGTTATTTTTTCAAGAGAGGAAGGGGCAATGTCCAGCGGCGACCACTCTGTCAACTCCGCTTTCGCTTCGACGAGCTTCCCTTCGCGAATTAGGTTCTCTGCGAATGAAATGACGAGCTCGCCACGTTGGGCGTTATATCTCCTACTCAATTCCAACTCTTTCTCTTTGGGCGTAGCCGCGTCGTGCAAGAATTTATACAGGGCGCTCTCCGACTCTCTTAACTTCCCTGACATTCTCATTACCGAGCTCTCTCTAAATGCTAGCCAGGCGTTAAGGAAACGATCATTGTCACCTTCGAGGAGCTTTTTGGTACGGTCGATTGCTTCAACTTTCCATTTTGCATTCGAAAACCGTGAAGCGGCGAGAAGAGTCGATGCGAGTTCGTGCCGAAAGGAGGCAGGGTCTCCGTGCTCGAGACACATTGCATCATATTCAGAAAGGACTCGACTCAGATGGGGTAGCAACGTCCTTCCAACCTCTCCATTCCTGTGCCACACATTAGCGACTGATTTTCGGAGAAAAATGAAGGAACTTACAGCGGCTCGAGGAAGCGATTCCTCGGAAACGCGTGACAAACGAGTAAAAGAGCTTGCCATCGCCATTTTCTCACATCAACTGGTGATAACCGTTTTATAGCACAGTATTGGACAAGCGGATGAATGGAAAAGCTTCTAAGCCCTTCGGATTCTTTGTTGCAGGAAATCAGCGAGAAGGAAAGTAGCTTCTCCACGGCCATGTCAAACTCAAAGTCTCCTTGGATGACCTGGACCAAGTGTTTCTCCACCCCTTCCGTTTCCGCAGTTACCTCGATCATTTCCCCATCCTCACTCCATCTTCTTTGGGGAGTGGTGCCTCGATGTAGAAGCATTTCCGGAATCGAAGACTGTTCCAGAAATGAGACCAGAAGAAGCAAAGAGGCAGCTCCCGGGGACTCCCGCTCCACTTGTTTAAAGTTGATTTCCCAGGTCGTTAAGACTGCCTTTTCAGAGTTTCCAAGACGGGAAGCGAAGCCAAGCAGATCGTCTCGCCGAGTCCTGTACAGCCTACAATATTGCTGAAGACTTCGATGCCTTGAGCGAACGAATGCTCCAGCTTGTACCAAGGCGAGAGGGAGAGACCCGAGAAGTCCTGTAACGGTCCTTGCGTCTTCAATGTCACCTTCAGTAGGGTGCTGGATCCCTGACTTTTCGAGTAGTAGTTGCACTGCATCGCCTTCCCTCAGGGGACTCAAAATATGGCCGTTCTCGGCTATGCTGCCAATCACCGCCTGGTCACGACTGGTGATAATAATGTGGCCCCAGTTCACGGCCGGGTAAAACTTATGAAGTGGTACTGTGTCCAGATCATCAGCGTTATCGAACACCAGAAGCCATTTACTGTTTTCAGGCCGAGATAGCCAGCTTTTAACGGCTCTGATCTTGTCCTTGGAGTCTCCAAGTCGAAGAAGGTCATGTAAGCGGTCAAAGTCTGCCGTAAGCGAGGCCATTGATGTTGCGTTTACAAAGGCAATCCCCGACTTGTACTTTGCCAAATTTTGGACGGCATAGTGCAAAGCTGTCTGCGTTTTCCCCGTCCCTCCTGCGCAAGATTAGCAAGAGTGTATGTGTACCAAAATCCAGGAACCTACCGAGACCACATATCGCAAATGTCCGTCTGGTTTGTGGCTGGTTCTGGTCTTCATTGAAGCACATCTTCAGCATATCAAATACATCATCTCTTCCGCGGAAGAACGAACATGGCTGTGTCTGTAGGTCGAATGGAATGCAAGACTCTACTTAGGAGTCAGTATGCACGACAAGAATGTCCCTAGAATCCCACCATTGTTTTGATCCGTGAAAGACCGCGTTCCACCCGGATGGCCACTGCGTAGGGTCTGAGCAAACTCTTTCAGCCGAGAAAGCACGGGTCGAAAGGACCGATCCTGCGAAGACCTGAATCTGGCAATATTCCTGTGGTCGGCGAATTGGGGAACGGTGATCTCATGAGGAACATTTAGAACCGCGGAGCGTTGGTCGACAATCTAGAGGCGGGGTTAGCCAGGTGGAACAATCAAAGCTGTCTCGAGATGGGATTACTAGTTTTCTTAAAAAAGGGCCGATGGAGGTGAACTCGAGCTCGTAGAAGGATACAAGACGGATTTTCTTTCTCCTCTTGAGGAAGTCTTCAGTAATTTCTAACAGGGCCTCTGAGTCCTTCTGCAGTGTCCTTATAAGCGCACGAGGAGTTCTTATTGGTGAGAATGTTGCGACAATATTCGCCAGGACCTTTCCCGTGGCTGCGAGGCTGCTACCATTGTGAGGCGTGCCTAAAGCCTTGTCAGAAGATGATGTATATCCGAATCCTTGGGATTACCTTACCAAGAAATAAAATTCCATATACACTCTGTTGGACGCGCTCCTGCTCCTCGGTACAGCCTATCAACAGCGCCTTTACATAGGCTAAGCAAAGCTCCGAAATTTAATCAAATGAGGGCAGTCACCTTCTTCGCTACGATTCCCCCCAGGCTGTGGCAAACAAACACGATAGGCCGGGATTTCTCCTTAATGTCGAGTTAGCGAAAAAATGCTAAAGGAAGGGGGGCCATCACTGACATCTTCCGTTGTCCGGAGATCTACTAGCTCAGCGAGCAACTTCGATGATATACTTCGTAAATCTTGCTGCGCGGTAAAATTCTTGAAGCGGGCATTATATCCAAAGGTCATGATACGGATGTCTGGAATCGCTGCAGGTAGAAGATCTCTTAGCCACATCACTCTAGTTTCCGTGTGAGTCCATGTGTTGATAGGGTCCCCGTTCAGGCCATGAATCGCGACCAAACTGTATCCTGATCAGCCTTCCGTCCAACTTTCATTATAACGAGGTATCTGATTGATAAGGAACCTTACTCAAAAACAGTATTATTAACCCGGTTTTCGTCTTCGGAAGCAGACGTGTTCTCTGGGTCATGAACAACGATAATCCCATATTCACTGTCCTTAGTCATTGTGTGGTAACCGGGTTAGACTAGTTACAGAAAAACATTTGAGTTGCAAGGGGACGAAGAATTGCATTGTGCTTGGACTGGCAGTTTAAAAGTCAAGCAATCCGTTGAGCTTGTGATGGTAGTGGGATGACTAGGTACTTAGTGAATGCAAGTCACCGTATACCGCCAATACAATCGCCTGAGGAGCCGCCAAATCCATCAAACGGCTAAATATGTGCGATCATCATGTGTCAATACAGAAACCTGGACCTCTGGCATCCAATTATCTTATGATTCTAATGTAAAACACCGCAAATGGTACAAGGACGAGAGATGCGCTAGAATCACTATCCTATGGCAGGAATATGGACGTGTGAGACTAGGTGGGATTTAGATAATTGGCATCCCTTCTCTGTACCCTGCTTGCCGTTTCTGAATAAATTTGTCAGATATTTTGTCTGGGGCAGGCCCGGTAGAGTTCAAAAGTACAATTTATTAGCGTATTAGCTTTCCCATCCTCGGCCCCTCACTGGTGAATACTTAATTCCAACTCTCTCACATCTTTTGCTCTGTAGGTAGAGATCTCTGCCACTGAAAACCGCACATGGCTTCTGCAAAAACCTCACCTGAAAGCCTCCAAGCCATCCCAATTACAGTTACAGTTTCACAACACAGACACCAAAATGTGGCCAAGGAAGGACATGAGGGTGTGGACGCCTGGCTGCAGGCGTTAGGTGCCTTCCTCATTTACACAGCAACATGGTGAGTCGGTGCGTAGTCTCTTATCCTGTTCAACCCATGGTGCTCATCGTTTCTTTATTGTAGGGGTCTGTTAAGTGCCTATGGCTCGTACGAAAGCTTCTATGAAACAACCCTGTTGTCTTCCACGCCCTCGACCACAATTTCTTGGGTCGGCACGCTACAGGGTGTCATTCTCATCTGTAAGTCACCACACTTCTAAGAGTCAAAAGACACTACCAGGTCGAAGTGAGAAGATTCGCGAGATTAACCGGGGACCTTGATTTACAGTGGGGGGCGTCATATCGGGGCCGATCTTCGATCGTGGATATATCAGGGAGCTCTTAATCATAGGTACAGTAACAACAGTATTGGGCGTCATGATGTTGAGCTTAGCCCGCGAATACTACCAGATTCTTCTGGCACAGGGTGTTTGTGTCGGTATCGGAAGTGCAATCCTATATGTGCCCAGCATTAGTCTCGTTGCATCGAGGTTTCAACAACGTCGCCCATTGGCCATGTTCATAGCCACCACAGGCACCGCATTTGGTTTGTCCTCCATGACTTCCCCCCTTCTTCCCGTCGATATCCTCACTGACTAGGCACACATGCAGGTGGGATAATCTACCCCATCATATTCTCGAGTCTTCAGCCCAAGCTCGGCTTCCCGTGGGCAACTCGAGTTCTCGGCTTCGTGACGCTGGGTGAACTAATTATAGCGATGGCAATCATATTACCCAACACCAAGAGCAAGGCCCCCCATAATGTCCGCTCCCTTCTGGATCCCACCGCATTCCGCGACCCAGCCTTTATGGCCTTCTGCGTAGCTCTATTCCTCATGTGGATCGCCTACTGGGTCCCCTTCTTTCTACTGCCCACCTTTGCCCAATTCAAAGCCGGCGCAAGCTCAAATCTAGCCTTCTATGTCCTAGTCATCTGTAACGCATCGACCATTCCTGGTCGGTACCTGGCGGTGCCACTTGCAAACCGATTGGGGCCCGCGCTGACCATGGGCGGCTTCGCGCTAGCATCCAGTGTCCTCCTCTTCGGCTGGATTGGTGTTAAATCAGTGGGTTCCACTGTCGTCTGGGCGGTGCTCATTGCTTTGTTCATGGGGCCACTAGCAGTTCTATATCCGATCATTGTGCCTCATCTTTCGCCAGAAAAAGACTTCGTCGGTACAAGGATGGGTATATCATCGGCTGCGGCGGCGCTGGGGACTTTAGTCGGCTTTCCAGTTACATCTGCCTTGAATGACATTGAAATGGAGGTATTCTGGAAGAGCCAGTGTTTGAATGGTTGTTGCATGTTTGGTGGGGCTGTTCTGATGATATACGTCTATTATAAGATGCCCAGAACTTGACCACTGTGACACACCGGTCTTTCGGCACGGTCTCTTGCTTATTCTTCAGACTGGTCATGTGACGGTTGGGCCATAGCGTCATGATTGATTGTCCACATTGAATTCCCTAGCCACTTAGGAGATCTTCAACCTCTGCTTACTTTCGACGGAGGTGGTAAGGTGAAGTACTAGTGAAGTACTATATACATACTCCGGTGGTTATAATAGAGTATCAAAGGTACCATGGAGTGAGCATTCTGAAAGTTCAGCTTGATTGGCTATTGAAGGAGAAACATCTAGAAAAGCAGGCGCTAACAAAATACCGGGCTGCTGTAAGCCGTAGACTAATGCACAATGGTCCTAGTGTAACGTTAGTGCTGGGAAGTGACATTTGCATCGACGAGCTAGAGAGGTAGAGTTGCATAAGATTTTCATCCTAAAGAGGTGGACTTCTATAGAGTCAAGTTTTTTAAACTGTCAGATTGCCGTATGATATTCAATCTTTGCCACTATAGAGAGGTATAAGTATATATGCTGAACTCCACATATCATGGGTTAAAAATCTGCTGTCTGCCGATTGCCACCTCCATCCCATGGTATACTTTGTACGTCAGAAGACAGTTAAGCAGTCGTCATTTTGTGCCAGGCCAGGCTGATTTCTAGGAGGCAGATGTGCTTGACTGGCTCCCATAATAGAAAAGTTTTTTAGCTGAACAAGAAGGATGGCAAATCCGTTTTCCACCGTCATATTCCCACCAAGGGGTGATGTGATTGTAGATGTCCTACGAGCCCGTGCACATGTTCTAGATAGCCCGTGGTGAAATAGAGCGCTATCCTAGTCATTGTAAGGCTGTATTTATGGGTGAAAGAGATTTTTTATCTGCTATGGATTAAATGCCTGGAAGCAGGAATAAAATCCACGCACTAGGCGCAAGAAACCTGATTGTGGTTCCAGTATTTTCCTCCGACCGGGGGTTTCCCCCTTCATATCAGCAGGTGGCTGTCATTCCCCGCTTTCAACTTTTTCTCTTCCTCTTCCTCTCCCGACCATCCTCCTAAATCCAAGTTCAATTAAGGATTTTCATTTCACATACTTCCTCATCCCGCAACCTTGACGCCTTACTAGATCCGGCTTTACAAGAAAAAGAATAGAAAGCGAAAACGAGGGAATCAACCCGATAACAACTGCAAAGCCGTAGGGCATACCATAATACTGCGGCTGGGATCTTTGGATTCCGACTTTAAAAAAGAGCAAGATCACCTGGGAGACTCGCCATAGTGTTGGGGGGCTTGCCGTAAGAATTGAAGAATTTTCTGGAGATATGGTATTAACACGCCAGACAAGACAAACCACCTCGGACGATGCATTTCCTACTACTCAGCTATTCCTGCTCGGTATGTGATTCACCTGTCATCTATCGCACCCTACATACTTACGTTCTTGGGGCAACAGCAATATGCCGTGTCGCAGAGCCCATCGCTTTGACCTCCATATTCCCATACTCATGGGTTATGGTCAAGGATTTTCGAGTAGCAGATCGCACAGATGCTTCCTTCTATGCCGGGATCCTCGTGTCCGCTTTTTCTCTTGCCGAAGCCCTTACCGGTATGTTCTGGGGAGGGCTTTCGGATCGGATCGGTCGTAAGCCGGTCCTTCTGTCCGGTTGCTTCGGTACCATCCTATCCCTTCTCCTTGTGGGATTCGCGCCAAATTTCTGGGTAGCGCTCTTAGGTCGCGCTCTTGGTGGTCTACTGAACGGGAATATCGGAGTCATTCAGACAATGGTTGGGGAACTAGTCAAGCGACCAGAACATGAACGTAAGTGAAATGTTCGAAGATGCCCTTCAATTAGAGCAGGAGCATTAGCTCATCGTGACTGTTATAGCTCGAGCCTACGCCGTGATGCCGTTTGTCTGGTCAATAGGAACTATTATCGGTCCCGCGATTGGAGGTTTGCTTGCGAAGCCCGCCGACAGCTATCCATCTCTGTTCTCCGCCAACGGTCTTTTCGGCAAATTTCCCTACCTGTTGCCGAATCTGGTCTGCTCCCTCTTGCTCCTTCTCAGCATAATTGGCAGCTGGTTATTCTTGCAAGAGACCCATCCTGGTCTGCAGCATCAGAATGGTTCCGGAAACCACGATCATACGTCTGCCGAAAGTCCTCTCCTGGCCACCGCAGGAGCGACAGCCAATGCAGGTGTAGATCTACGCGCGGAATCATATGGTACCTTCAACCAAGTTCGCTTGCAGGCAGATGAAGATTGGTTTGTGAACGCCGACGGCTCAAAATTCAAGACGCAAAAACAACCCGTTTTCACGTACCGAGTCGTCTCGCTCATCATTGCGTTATCCATCTTTACTTATCACTCCATGACGTACGATCATCTCTTGCCTATTTTCTTGCAGGACAAGAATGGCAGGAATGTTTCAGGCCTCAGTAACGCGCCGCTTAGCTTCCCTGGCGGACTCGGCCTTTCTACGCGGACAGTCGGCCTGATTATGTCTTCGGATGGCATCATTGCGCTCGTTATTCAGAGTTGCATTTTTCCCATTTTGGCTCAGTTACTGGGGGTCTGGAAACTATTTGTGGTGGTGACTGTGTTGCATCCTATCGCCTACTTCATCGTTCCATTCCTCATGTTTCTACCCCAAAGCTCCGTCATCTTCGGCATTTACATATGCCTTATCGTTCGCAACATCCTTTCGATAATCGATTATCCTGTGCTGCTGATTCTCATTAAGCAAGCAAGCCCTTCGGAATCGGTCATGGGAAAGATCAATGGGCTAGCTGCTTCTGCCGGTGCCGTCGCTAGGACTATTGCTCCTCCTATTGCTGGTTTCCTGTACAGCACTGGTGCCGATATGAATTTCACTGCTATCGCATGGTGGGGAAGCTCTTTGGTTGCTGTCATGGGTGCTGTGCAGCTGTGTTTCATGAAG